GTCTAAGAATTGACTATCACTGCAAAGAGAATTTACAAATTAAGGGGAAAAGTCTCTAAATTTATATTCCCCTGTATATTAAGAGAAAAAGTCTCTAGGGAAAGATTCTCTACACTCATCCCAGTTTAATTTATAATTGGGTTGCTAGTGTCTGGACGTCATTGCCTATGTGATGGTTTCATGTCTCAATGTTAAAAATCAGAATGAGGCCAATTCTAGTGAATAGAAGTCTGCACAAACAATTGCTATTTTGTTGGTTCCTCTGGTACCAAGTCTAAGAATAGAAAGAAAAAAAAACTGGCAACACAACAGAACGATCTTTTACTGCCATCTTTCCCTTTAGCATAAACTGAGGCATGTGCTTGATCAAGGGAGGGGAAGAGTGTTTCTTTTATTTTCCCTCAGTAAAGGAGCTTAGTTCTACTAAGCAAGGTTGGAAAATATATTGGAGACAGTATATTTAAAATTAATTTAAAATATAAAGTGTCTTTAATGCCTTTAATATAAACAAAAATTGATTTTATTAAAACGCTTTCAGATATTAGAATACAATGATTTATTTGTCACTCCAAGTCTGTAGCATGAATATAACTTCCTTTCCAAGTATATTGATTTTTAAATGTATTTTGGAAGTGGAAACAGAACCAAAACAGTCTACCAAAATTCTTCGCCATCTCTCTTAAACAAAACCAAGTCTATTACGCCAACAGTCTATTTTAAAACAGTATAGAAAAATTATTTTTTCAGAAGGATAGGATTAACCAATTAGAAAGGTTTCTTAAACAACAAAGAACGTCATACTTTTCTGTGTTTTGCTGGGTTGAAACATGAAATGTCAAATATTGATAGAATATTCTAAGTTAAGTACAGTGAGTCACTTAAATGTCTGAAATACTGAAATGGATTATCAACCTTATTGGTGTCTTTGCAGAACCTAAAAACTTTCATGTTTATTGTTGACATGAAAAACTGGAAAGGTCATATTTCTCTAGATTCAGTGCCCAGATAGAATTGATTTAAAATTTAAAGCACTTTTATAAGAAAATTTCAGTATTGTATAAGTTAAACATGGAGCAAAACTCATACTTGTTACTTTTTTCCCATATTTTCTGTAAAGACTGTCTTTAACTCTAAGGTGTTTAATTGAACTCAGAATAAATGTTGTTGTAAACAATTTAATTTTAATTTTTGGGCTGTTTAGCTCTTACAAGGTTGCTCATTCCAAGTGCTATGTTAAACATGTAGCAATCATTGTATGTATTTTCCCTAGCTTGTGATATAAGGTATCATGCCTTTTGTTGTATTATTCTTATATCAAAAAGATTGTCAAAGTTAAAATGAAGAACTCCCTTTCAGACCCTGCTTGAATATAAAGACTATCATCTAAGGATTAGAGCTAGACTGTTTTCAGTTATGGATCCTGGTATTAGCTCCCTTGTGATTTTCCATGGAATAGAATGTTTTTGTTACTAGTGCGTGGCTTTTAAACGTCTACCCTTGCATCTGTGATACTGAAAGGGAAGAGTAATACAAATTGTAAGGTGAAATCCACAGAACATCCAAAAATCACTATGTCAGTAGACAGAGGTATGACAGTGTTGCTGTTAAGAACAGACCCTGGAGTACAGTGTACTTGAATTCAAGTCTAAATGATGTGGGAAACGAAGGCAGAAGAAAAATTATTAAATTTCCCTACTACCCACAGTCCACTGACAAGTCCTTAAAACAGGCAGAGTGACATTGCTCTGGGGACTCAGCTGCCTCAATATTAGTACTTTGCTAAGGGCAAAAAGGCAACCTTAACCCAACCCACAGGATCCTATAAGTCTATCTTTACATATAAAAATACCTTTAGAAAATTCCTTTATCTCTAAACCCCCCAAGATATGAGTTGGCAATCATCCCCCAAGCATATGGCCCACAAATATATCTGAAGGGTCTCATGACTAAGGTTTAATTAGATGGTCATTAATGACCTTTTCCCAACTATAGGTAGCCCCCTCAAGGTCCTGGAAACCTTGCTTCCAAAATTCCTTTATCTTAAGCTATCCCTAACCCCCTCCGAACTCCTTATGACCCCAGGGCAGCTCTTTCTGCCCAGGGAACCTGTCCCCTTGCTTTAATAAAACCACCTTTCGCACCAAAGTTTTCTCAGGAATTCGGTCTTGGCCGTTGGCTTCGAACCCTAACATCTTTTCCTACATCATAATATTCAATAGCTGTATGACTTGAGCTACAAGTCAACCTCTTCAGGCTTTAATTTCACTGTCTTCATCTGTAAAAAGAGGGTTGCTAGAGGTTTAAATAAATATGCTCATGTGTCTCTGATGTATATATATGTATGTGTGTATATATTTGTAGTTAAGAAATATATATATTTTATATGTATGTATTACTTCAAAATATATATGGATATATATTTACTTAAGATTATATGTATCTACTTAAGATATATATATATATATGATATATATTTATTTAAGATATATACATGGAGACATACATATATTTACTTCAGATTTTATATATGTAACACAGCAGCATTTTTTGGCAGGTGGTGTTACTTAAATATTATTATATTGACTCAGCACTTCTATATCTGAACTGCTGGTGAGTTAACAAAATTGATCTAATGGTTCTTGCCCTTTTTTTCTTTAAAGTTTCAGTTATAGCAAAATGTCATTTAAGAAATTGAATAAACAGAATGAGAAGCCCTACAGCAAGGTGCTGAGTTAATAGACAGCATAATCACTTCCTGACTACATATGAATGAAGTCTTTGTAGAACTAGCAGAGGGGCTGTTAATGGGCTTTTGTTTTAGAGATGATAGATTGATATTCCAGCGACAGCCCTGATGAGAACCCTCCTGGCAACTGCCTCTCTTTGCCTAGTGCTGAAACGGTACCCTTCCAAGTAGGTATAACCTGCTATAAATCAGAGCACTAATACCTGAGCTTCACAAGGACAGAGATTTTGTCTGTATTGGGTCATTGCTGTATCTGCAGAATTCAGGCAAATGCCTTGCAAAGAGTAGGTACACAATAACGGTTTCTTGAATGAATGGAAACTGCAACCTTTTCTTTAAAATAGGATTAACATTAAAAGCAAAACAAACAAAAAGTAAGAGGCTTCCCTACTTCTGACAGATTTCTGACCCTAAGAATGCCGGTGAGCAGGTGAGCAGGGCGGAGGAGCAGCACGGGAAGGACGACGGAAGTGCAAACGTGTATTTTAGCAAGTATTCTAGAAGTCAAGGATTTGGTTAATTCACAGGAATATGTGGTGTGGAATGGTACCACACTTAACTCAGATTCCTACGCATGTGTCACATTTGTATTACAAATATTTTATGTAGCATCTGACTAACTTTAGTGTCTATACTTATCCTTTTCCCTTACCAGGGTTTTCAGAAATCCTTCACCTATAGCCAAGTGTCAGAAAGTGACACTTTTACTTTCCACAAACCTTTGGCTTACTTTTATTATTTGCTACTCAGCTAATAATCAGTTTAACATGATCCATCTCACAAGTAGGGTTGATTATATTGCATTACTAACAATTTAGCTCACAACCTCAGACAATGGATTAAAATAGCCTTCTTGAAATTATTCCTGACAATCGCCTAAGGACATATTCGTTTCTACTGCCACAGCAAGCATTTTTTGAAAACAGAAAGAAGTCCCCTTTCATAGCATAGACAAGCTAATAATTTGAAGTGGAAACTATTCATTTGTACACCCTCTAAATTTTCCTAATTATCTTTGTAATGAAAACTGAGAAAGTATTAGTCATCCTTGGCTGAGCTATACTCAACTCTACTTGCCTTTTCTAAATATAATAAAACAACAAACAACCTTAAAGGACATTATTAATTCATTAGACAAGATTTCTTAAAATGTTTTTTATCATCTCATTTAACTTTGGAATTTCCAGACATTAATAATGAGTCACCAAAATGCTATCATTGATTTATAATGCACATTAGCACATCAGGTTTGGCCCAAGAACTCTGTGGGTCCAGAAGGAAAAAGAAAGATGTTTACAAGTGAGCCATGACAGAAATACACTGAAAACACATAACAGTAAACAATTAGGCCTAATTCGAGTATAATGAAGATTCAGGTTCATTTTATTCCACAGAACTGCTTCTATCCTTGAAACTTCATGTAGAAAGAGTCCTTAGAGTTAGAATACTATTGAGGGTGGTATAATTTTGCTTCGCCTTTGGGCATATAAAGTAAACATTTTAGAACAAAATTTACAGCTATAGATAACACAGGATCTGATCAATGTTAACACACTTGGCATTAGTTTAAGGCTAATCCACATTGGAAAAACAATCATTTCCAGGATGGAGATCAAGTTTCTTAACACAGTGTTGCCTGTCTGAGTTGCTAGAAAAGATTTATTTAAAAATCGATCCACAGGATGTATTTTCACATTTGTCAGTTTCTTTCCACTTGTGTGCTAGAGGGAGGCACTTTAAGAGTTGTTAATGGTCCTTTTATCAGTGCAAGACACCGAGTTTCAGCAGTGATTGGTAAATATGGCAGGGAATTAAAATGAAATTGTATTAAAAAGTAAACAAATCGTTAAATTAGAAAATTTCGCCAAATCTCGCAATGGTCAGTAATTTCTGATTTGAATAACTTCTTTGCTTAAAAAAAGATTAGTAGTTATCACCCACCTATGCCCAAATAAGTGAATATACTACAGCTCCTGATGTTAAGGTATAATGGTTTTGCTATCTGGGCTCGTAAGGGGTCTTAAAATATTGACAAGTACTTTGAGTTATGTTTTGAGTAATATTTCAAAATATTGTATTATGCATAGGTCCCAAAGTGTCAGAAAAACTAAAATGTCGAATAGAACATATTGAAAGAGTTTAGTAAAATGTATAAAAAGGCTAAAAAACCCACTCCGTTTTAACATGTAAAAATAAATCGAATTGGTTCATGGGAATCGAGTGGCTTTTTGTTTTGTTTTGTTTTGTTTTTTAGTTAGTTAGTTGGTATGTACTGCACCCGCCATAACACGTTGAAAAGTAGGTCCTGGTACACACTAAGGAATATCCAACCAGGTAAATACATCAGGGTGATGAGGCCCATGAAATTGAGCGGATAGTGAGAATAGTCCCAGGAACAAGCGCCGCACATGCGGAGTCCCAGACCCCAGGACAACTCCCAAACGTAGATGAAGATCACGTAGATGGGTATCCGCTTCCAAGTGCTCCAGCCACGACTCCAGTGGAGATGGAAGTAGAGCTTTTCCACCACGAAACTGCAGCTGCCGTACATGAAGAAGGACCAGAGCGACGTGTGGCCGCTGGTTACCCCATCTCCCTGCCCCAGTAAATTAAAGAAGAAAGTGAAGAAGATCTCATCCAAAAAGCCGTGCATTCCGAAGAAAAGAAAGCGGAGCAGGCCCGGCAGCCCGTGACTGGGGGCTCCCCCGACGCCCCTGCCGCCTCGGGGTAGGTGGCGCGGGCCACCTGCAACCACAGGGGTCCCGGCGCCCCGAGGAGCGGGGGGCGCGCCCGGCCCACGCTGCTGCTGCTGCTGCTGCTGCTCTGGCGGCCGCCGGTACCGCAAGCGCAGGAAGCGGTTCAGAAACACATGGCAGTGGTAGAGAGCGAGCACGTACTGCAGCGCTAGGTCCAGTGTCCCCGGCACTGCCGCGCCCCCCGGCCCGCTGCGCAGGCCAAGCAGCAGCGCCTGGCCGGCCAGGGTCTGCAGTGTCACGTGCGCTGAGGGGTAGAGGAGAAAATTGAAGACGAAGGCGCTGGGGCAGCGCCGCTGCTGCAGGTAGACCTTCTCCAGGGCGAAGTGGGTGAGCGAGTGTAGCAGGCAGCGATAGGGCGAGGAGAAGCCCAGCATCCGGAGGTCCGGGCTGCTAGCGAAGCGCCGAGCCGAGGACACGAGCACGTCCAGGGTGATCCCGTGCATCCCGTAGAAGTAGAGGCGCATCCAGGCGGGCAGCGCAGCGCCGTCGGCCGGCGCTTCAGCAGTGGACAGCGGCTCTGGGCCGCTGGCCGCAGTCTCGCCTCCCGGCCCACAGGGCTCCCCAGGACGCCGGGGCGCGCTGCTTCTTCGCGCGCGACCCTCGCCGTCCGCATCGCTGCCCGCCATGGGCTCAGAGGCTGCCCGGGCACCCGAGCCCGGGCCGCCGCCGCCGCCGCTGGGTGCGTGGAGCTGCGGGGCCGACGGGCCGAGCGCCGCGTCGCGCCGCCTCCCGGTCGTTGCCGGCCCCCGGGGGGCGCGCAGGGAGCTCCGTTCCGGCCGCGGCCGGGTGGCAGCCGGAGCTGGTGTGCTCGGGACACCGCGGGTCGCCCGACTCGCGGAGTCCCCCTGCCGCGGACCCACCGCGCCCTGCCCTCCAGTCTTGGGTGAGGAGCAGCCGGCCGGCGCCCGCTCTCACTCTGCGTGGCCTAACCGGCGCCGCGGCCCGGCGAGGGGCGGTGGTGCTGGGGCTGCGAAGAGGAGTGCAGAGGCTGCTGCAAAACCCCATCTCCACCACTCCTGGGCGGCAGGCTCTTGAAGCGTAAAGCGAGCAGCGACGCCCCTTTCCCCGGCCCTCCCCATGCCCCTCTCCGTCTTTCTCCACCGCTCCCGCCTACGCAGGGTCCCCTCCCCGACCCATCCTCGGAAGTCCCGAGGGGGTCCCCAGTCCCGAGGGGGTCCGCTGGCGAAGGCCGGGCCCTACTTCTCCGCCCCCTTTCCCCTCTTCCCCCGCCCCCTCTGCACCCGGGTTTCGGGCGGTGTGAGAGGTGTTTGTTGGGGCGGAGGAGAAACACCTAACAGGTGTGATTGCGAGATGAGGAGTAATCCCTGTGTAGAAGAACCAGAGCCAGGGCCTGGCTGGCAGAGGCGAATGGCCTAGTGCCACAAACCAGAGGCCGGGCCAGAGACCAAACTGTGGTGCTGTATATTTAATGTTCTAATTCAAAGCCAGCTGTGCCCCAGTCACAAAGAATAAACATGAGACTCCACGCCTGCACGCCCCAGCATCTGAAATGTTGTCACGGGGCCTGGTTCACTTTTTCACTCTCTCCCCCTACCAGTCTGCTTTCCTAGGTTAGTCTACTGAGGGCCAAAGACAGAAATTCAGAGCCCCCCAGAATTATGAAACGATTTGAAGCCAGCTGGGTTGGACATTGCTCTGGCTGCCAGAGCCTCCTATCAGGAACAGTACCGTTGCTCACACTGGCATACCCCCCAGTGCTGCTTTTCTCCTTGCAGAACTAGGTCATCGCAGAGATGGAGGGTAAAATAGAGGGTGAGATATTTACTTACTTACTTACTTATTTTGAAGAGAGGGTGGGGGAATGTAGAACTTTGGTATGTTGGGGGCTGCACTTTTGAATCCAATTCTGAATTGGATTCTAAATCCAAAACTCAGGTTTAGAATTGAAAAGGATTGAAAAGAACCTTAGGGGTCAATTATACTGATTTATACTCACCCTGCCCCCATCATATCTAGGCAGAAACTAGATAACAGTTCTGATCTGTAAGGAGATGGGATGGTTTTTTGGATGGAAGGCTTTCTGGGGATTTTTTTTTAATTTTAAATTAATTTTTTAATTAATTAAAAAATTTTTAATTTTCTAAAAATATTGAGGCCATACCTTCATTTCTTAAAACACTCTCTTCCCCGCTCTCTCCCCTTACTTATTTCAACCCCTTATGTTAGTCTACAGTTGCTAAATTGTCTGTGATTTAGGTAAGAGAGAAATAAAAGTGTGGTGAGAAGAAAAATTGTTAAAGTAGTATCACTTGCATAAGGTCAAAGTAATGATTTTTTTTTTCCAGCTTTGTTAGCATGAGGTTTATTTGCAGACTTCCTCTGACAACTGTCAAAAGTCAGTGGGTGGAAACTGCCAGGGACATCATGCCAGGGACAGAAGCCTCAGGGACAGGCTTGTCAAACTAGCCACAAAACAGGAGACAGTTAGTTGCCCAAGTGCCTGAGCAAGTACAATGAAGAGAAATAATAATGCTAAAAAACTAAGTTCAACTGAGGAACTCTGAAGATCTAATCAGCTTTAATCAATGATTCATGAATTGGGCTGCATCCCGTTTAATAAAGAGAAGTAAGCTCCAAGGAGCTGTACAAAATGGAAGCCTTATAGGCAGAGACAAGGCAAGACACAAAAGTTGTTAGTAAAAGAAAAGAGAACTGTTTTAGGCAAGGTAACCTTCCTTTGCATGGGGGTCTATCATGCAGATACACTAGTGCTGATCAGGAAATTCCAGATGGTATTTAAGTTGCATTTCTGTAAGTCTTGGTTTGCTGGCTTGGAGCAAGTGACTCCCTATTGAGCCCCGTATTATTTTTTTAAACACTGTAAACATTTTCATGAGCACCTACTGTATACAAGATGCTAAATACACTGGGGAAATAAGGGGTTATAAGATGCACTCTCTAAGAAGTGTATAATCTACTTGATAGGATAATAAGCTATCATATCTGGGTAAAGCCTACCTATGATGATTATTATTTTTTTTAATTTATTTATTTGACAGAGATCACAAGTTAAAGTAGGCAGAGAGGCCAACAGAGAGAGAGAGGGGGAAGCAGGCTCCCCGTGAAGCAGAGAGCCCGATGTGGGGCTTGATCCCAGGACCCTGGGATCATGACCTGAGCTGAAGGCAGAGGCTTAACCCACTGAGCCACTCAGGCGCCCCCTACCTATGATTATTATTAATAATAATTATGATCAGCTAGTTCCCTCTTATCCACAATTTCACTTTCCACAGTCCAGAAGCAGATGATCTTCCTTCTGACATATTATCAGAAGGTCGGTAGTAGCCTAACGCTATGTCATTCACCTCACTTCATCACAGCATGTAGCCATTTTATCATCTCACAGCATCACAAGAAGGATAAGTATAGTACAATAAGATGTTCTGAGGGCGAGAAACCACATTCACATTATTTTTATTAGAGTATAATGTTAAAATTGTTCAATTTTATTATTGTTGTTGTTAATCTCCTACTATGCCTAATTTAGAAATTAAACTTTGACATAGATAAGGATATACTGGAAAAAAGAAACATAGTATATATAGTATATACTCAATACTATTGGTGGTTTCAGGCATCTCCTGGGCATCTTGGAACGTATCCCCTGTGGCCAAGGAGGGGAACTACTATATATACCAATGAATACATTTCTTTGAATTATTATTTTACTAAATAAACTCAACCCTCGACCCAATTTATCAGAAATTAAAAACAAAAGCACTTGTTCTCTGCAAGGGAAAGCACTTCATAATGATAGCATAAATATAGGCATTCAAACATGCATACACTAACTTACTAGACTGAACTTGAATTTTTTTTTAAGATTTTATTTATTTGTCAGAGAGAGAGAAAGTGACAGCACAAGTAGAGGAAGCAGCAGGCAGGGGGAAAAGCAGGCTTCCCGCTGAGTAAGGAGCCTGACATGGGACTCCATCTCAGGACCCTGGGATCATGACCTGAGCCAAAGGCACACACTTAAGCTTAACTGACTGAGCACACATATTTGAAACACGCTAATTTTTAAAATTCGGGAATATGTAATAGTCTGTATTTCACTACTGTTGTCAATGTATTGCTCTGCTGAGTGGGTTAGATTACTAAAAATCTCAATGTTCTGGGTCCTTTTTTTAATGTTTCTCATTTATCTTAGGAGAAGTGATGTAAAATATAAATTAACAATTATAAAGCCATAGCAGAAAACGCAGCTATTACCTGTTATTCTGTTTCTTTTTATATTTTTGTTGAGGCCTCTCCTTAGTTACACCACTTCAAAATGTATGAAACATTAACTTAAAAAAAAAAAAAGTAGACAAAAAGGATAAAAGGAAAAGCTTAAAAAAGGCATGAGACAAAGGGCAAGAAAACTATTCATTAGTAAATTGCCCTCATTCTTTTCACTCATTGCCTCATTTAAAAAAAAAAATGAGTATCTTCTGCCATTCTGAAAAGTTAGCCCACCAATAATACCAATTTTTGTTTCTGCTTCATCTTCACATTGCTCTTTTGTTTTAAACACTTCATTGCTGGGTTTCCAAAAGGAAAACTGCAGCATGGGTTTAATGATCCGTGATGATTTTATAATTTACAATCCTCACATCAGACTCCATGATCATAAAATGTGTAAAAACCTTTCTGTGCTGGTCTTTGCTACTGCAAACATTAGGTTGCAAAGATAAACCTGTAAAAGCAGCAACTTGTTGGGAGTTGGTGGTCTTGAGGGGAGGTTAAAAGTATGAAACAGGAATCTGCAATAAAATAACATTGGGTTGAGACTCCTTAGGTTAGAAAGCAGCCATGCAAAATTGATTTGAAACACTGTTCTTCCATGGAAAACATAGCCTTCTTTGACTTCAGAGGCCAAGAAGCAGTCTGAGTAACCATGTCTGTAGAGATACAATAATTCCCGTGGAGCCAACACTAACCTTACTGGACTGGCCAGGTTGGGGCAGGGTAGTTAGTGTGACTAGGGAGAGATCTGTTAATTAGGAGAAGGGCCTTCTGGAGAATTATGATAATCTTCAGTGAACTGTCTAGTGGCCATAGGGCCATGGTTGTAGACTTTTAGATGTATGGAATGCCCCCAGACTTTCCACTGCACACCAGGACAACAAAGGACAGTGAACAGAAAGCACAGCATTTAAAAGAAAGCTTAAGGTAAGTTCAATAGGTAAGGAATGAATGTAATGACAGAAGAAACAGTGAAAGGCAGCAGCCACATTAACAGTAGATATAAAAACTTTTCTTATTATGGATCGAATTACATACACATGCACACACACCCCTCTTATATGTCATAATCATCAGACTAAGGAAGGAGCACATTCATCCAAGAATGCTTACAACTGCTGAATGGTGGCTCCCTAAAAATACCACCAAAATAACTTGTTGCTAAGGCAAAACTGAGTTTCTTGCTTACCATGGTTAAGGAAGCTTTCTTCCTCAACAAAGTTTTAATAGCATTTTGTAGTGGGAAGGACAATGTACCATTTATGAGGTTTTTGGATTCTGGTTTAAGATGGATCTTTCAATACAAGGGCTTGATTAGAATTAGGTAATGACTATGATATAATGGTTTAGGATTGGTGGACACAAGACGACTGCTTTG